CCTGCAACTGGAGTCCAACAAGGATCATTCCACCTTTCATTAATACATGCACAGTACAAACAGATGTAAAGCTTATAAGTAGCAGCTAGTTGTGGTTCTCTGTTGCTACTTGCTTCTTACCCTGACTTTGGTGCTGTGATGATCCCTAAAAATAAAAATCTAACTATATCTATTGGTTCTAAACATGATCAAGGGTTACAAGATTCCCACTACGAAACAGGAAGTCCAGAGAGTGGGCATTCTTGCTAACAGTGTAGAAGTTCTCCAAATGCATATTTAAAGGTTTTCTAATGCATGGTTCACCTATGATCTTTTTCTAAATAGAAGCAAGTAGATCATGTGCCTAAACCTTACATCCCTCACAAACATGTCTTTATCTAGAATTCCTCTTTAGCTCTGCACTTCCTCCACTACAGAACAAATTGGCTGCAAGGCTTTATTACAGCATTTTGATTGGCTGTCAGTGATGGTCCCCAAACCAATATTAACTTGATGTTCTAGGAAGAAAAGCAGCCACATGGTGACAGCAGATACACTTACACATTACCTCCAGTGTCTGTTAAACTCTCTGCAATTTATTTATGAACCGACAAACTTTAATGTCGTACGTCAGCTGCCAAACAGGCCACTGCACCAAAGTCACCTCTGTGAAGCACCTTATGCTTATCATTTCCTCAGTTATGATTCTTTGCAGCCACCAACAAACACAATAGTTCTTTGTCTGACACTGATAACACATCCAAATAACATCGAACAACAGATGGTCTGGCCCTGAATCGATTTTAAACATCCACCACTCAGTCAGCACCTCAAAGCTAAGACTAACTTTTAATACAGCCGTCATCCACCAAATAGGAAAGTAATAGCTGTTATTCGTCACCTTTAGGCGTCCAGCAATAACACCGGCGTCATTAACGTCACATAAAAGGCACAAATTCCCCCGTGTCTCCTCGGGGAGAGCCAATGTATTGGTTCTCTCAACACACAATGAAGCTAAATAATGACTTATGTTAGAACAGCTGGTAAATAATTACACCTGCTGCTGAGAACGGGGAAATGTGTGATTATCCTGTTTTATTATTGAACAGGCTGGAATTTAAAGGGAATGGAGGGAGGGAGATTGAGGGAATAGGGTATAGAAAGAAAAGTGTAAAGTGTGTTTTCATGCATCCTCCTGCAGGACAGAAGGATTTACCATGTTCAGCTGGAATTTACAGAAATAACTCTTTGATTTTTTCCTGCACAGGATCAATTCTTCACCCTTATTATCGTCTTATCCCAGTTTAGCTACACAGGAATGTTGTATCTCATAGGTTCCTCTGCCTGATGGCTCCCTCACAGCTCGAGCTTCCAACCATCATCAATGTGATTAAATCATATCACAGATTATATGCAATATTAGTCATAGCGGCACTTCTGGCTTGGATTCTGAGGGATTAAACTCTATTTGATGATGCCTGAGGAAAAAGGAGCATTTATGGGTTCAGTGACCTTCGGTGCAGGGGTGGCGAACTCCAGGCCTCGAGGGCCGGTGTCCTGCAGGTTTT